AGTCATCATTACAGGATTGTATGCAGAATGTTTGAAAGGGGGTTTAGAATTTGTGAGATTAAAAGCCAACAAACATATTATGCAAAGTACAATCAGCATGCAAAGCATGTTAATGCTATAGGTGTCTGGGGGAATGTTCTTTCAGAAAAGTTGTAAAAAATAAGTGCTATGGGATTAAATCTGGAAGCAATTTTGCATGAAATATAGCTTAAACAATTACAAGGCTGTTCACATAACATCCACAAACACCCTAATAGTTAAATACCATAAGCAGCTGCACTATAACTATATAAGCATTTTATTTTTTTACATCAAAAGAATAGGGGGCTTGGCCGGCTGAACCATTGCCCCCAATGCATTATATTTTACTATCTACACCTTTCTCTTTATAGTTGTTGTAGAATTAAAATTTAACCTTCTAACAAAGGATGAACTTATGTATTTCGTAGTTGTACGCATGGGGTATCATCTGGATTTCCCGTAGAGTAGTCAGTTAGGACCTATTAACTGGAGTTTCAAAGGAAACCAAGTTATGGAGTGTGTCTGACTACCTCTCCGAGCGCTGACAGACTTCATAGTGAAGAAAAACAAATCAAAACCTGGAAGGTACACATCGATCGCTATTTACACAAGACGTTAAAACAAAGTAGGGGCAAGTGGGTCTGTGGTATGTTGGACTAGCGAGAGAGAAAGGAAAGTAAAACCCTTGTGAGCTCTCTCTCACCAGCCCATTATACTCCCCCCCCCTTCCTAAAGGTAAAAGAAAACTATAAAATATGAACTGAAAACAAACCCAAAGTTGAAATATAAAACAAAACAAAGTCTCTCATTGTGAGTAAAAATGTAATACTTACGAAAACTTTAATAAAAGTTCAATTCAAGTTTGGTTATACACAAGATTCAACTCTGAGGTTGAACTGAAATCTTAAAGTCTGCTACAGGTTTGATTAAAGATAAACCTGACTTTTAATACTAAAAATACAATAACATCACACAATGCCAGGTCGTACACGTCACTAACCGCAAGAGCTTTTTCCATTACAACTCAAGTACAAGGGCAGGGAACCCTGGGCTGTTACCCTATTCAACAACAGAAAAGACGGCTTTCTATTTTGGGACATCTAAAGCTACCTTTCCTATAAGAGAATTAAACGTATTTAATTTAATGACTGCATGTTCAAACTGAACTGAAAGAAAATACAGATTTCAAAATATCTGTGCTCAACCTACCGCGAGTATCGAAACCCCACTCGGGGGGGGGGGGGGCTAATGCATATAAGACTTACAACCTATAAATGAAAATACTAAACTATTCAAATAACAAATAAAGATAATAGTTGATATTTTTTTTACCGAGGGAAAAGCAATTAAGCCCACCTTGTTTTGGAACTATGAAATGATACATGCGTATGATAACTGGCCTTATACCTTAGTATGCCGTCAGGTAGTATGAATGTCTGCGGTGCACTACCGTTAACTGCTTTACAGTATTGAATATGAGAATTAGTTTGTGTTTATTTTTAACAAGTTATTTTTCGTTCGTTGTGTTAAGATTAACGTATAACGTAACTTAGCTCGAAGGAGAATCACTTCGTGCATGTGTGAAGTTTCTGAACATCGTTTTCCCCGTATGTCCACACGATACATCTTAAAAGGCAAAATATTCTAGGGAATTAAATGGTTTACTCTTGGTGCCCTTATTCAATAATTATACAAAATAATGAAGACGGAATTCCTTTGTTTTTCTTCATGTTTTAGAATGTTGTTGTTGTTTGATAATAAGCACAAAGCTACGTAAAAAACTATCTGTGCTCTGCCCACGGGTATCGAAACACGGTTTCTAGCAGTTGAAGTCCGCGGACATACCTCTATGCCACTGGGGGGGGGGACATGTTTTATGAGTGAAAATGTATTAAATGATAGTTTCAGGTTATGTTTTAAAGTTACGTAATGGCATAGTATTATCTAACGATAATATTTCCTTCTTCAAAAAAGTGGAAATATAAAAATCAACTAATGTGATTTAACAGGAAAGTGTTTTCTTGTCCAAAATGCGAACATGCTGATCTAAAAAAAAACAATGTTTTCTATGATATAGCGCAACATAATTAATTTATTATTGTACAATATTTTTGCACACATTATGGTCATTAATACATTGTAAAAGGGTATATATTACTGACAAGGATTTTTATAATAAGTACACTGGAATGGGTGGCAACAGTGTAGAGAATGAAGTTTCGAAAGTATTTCGTCTTTAGGTTAGTGTGTGTATAAAAAAAAAGAACTAAACGTGGCAGGAATTTTGTTTGAGGGAAGAGAGAGAACAGCGTGATAGTTGCTTGCTCTTCCCAACAGGGGTGTTCAGGAACAATCGTTCCCCTTCAATCCCGCGCGTGGGAAAGTTTTTCCAATTGTGGTTATTTTTGATTTCGTAGATTTTATTTCTCTCAATCATATTGGCAGAAAGCTGTGACGAATGTCGTATAAGACGCAAAGATCTTGACGCTGAAGGATTTCTTGTTCTTCATGGTTGGTGGTTTTATTTCTGTTGAAAATGTAGTTCAGCGACGTGGAGAGACATAAACTATGATCAAAATAACCAGTTCCAACGTGTATTACTTTTAAAATTTAAAGATTAAAAGAACCAATTTGTGTTAACACTATGATTTTCGAAAATAAACCATCGTCAGTCTGTGTAAGCTGTTGTAGGTCTTTTATTGTATCCTGGTGGATTGATTGTGGAGGGCGTGTTGTGATTAGGTGTTTATCCCTGGTTTCATAATCCATCAGGATACTACTAAGGACATGCAACCACTTACACAACCCCCCCCCCCCTTAGTTGTCTCCTGAGGTTCCTAGTAAACTCCGGGAGATTTTAAATCGAAATTACTGCCAAGATAAAACAAACAAACACACACATTGACATGAAGCCGGAAGACTCGAAACGTTGTCCTCTACACTTGTGTTTTTCCTACAACAGGCAGTTGCTGCCCATTCTAGTGTACTCATCATGAATACTCTGCCTAAACAATATATCAAAGGGTTTTTATACTATATAATCAAGTATACAAATGTCAAATCAACATTTGTTGTTGTTGTAACCATGGTGGAAATAATATTTCCAACCGATTACTAACTGATATAAGAAATCACAGTGGTGACACTCTCCCATCAATTAGCAAACTATGAAATATTTTGTTTCATTTTACGTGGTCAGAGAAAATGAAATTTAGCGTTTTTGTTCTTGAGCTCTGTGATTTCGTAAAAGCTTAATAATAGAAAGAAAATGTCTTATTTTGTCCATATAATTTAAGTCTTTAAGCAATCTTCTCTGTAAAATAAAATTTAAAAAGTATCAGTTTTGACACATTTTAAAATGTAAAACACAATAAGTGTTACGACAGCGGAAGTCACGTGACCCTGGTAACACGTAATGAGTTCT